ATTGGATATTTAAATACACAGAGAGAAAAGAAATGAGAAGCGGGAAAACTTATAACTAACTTTTCTTCTAACTCGTTTATGTTTGTTAATTAATTATAACGGAATGTAGATGACTTGCAATCCACGTGTCCTTTTCTTCTTTCAACGGAGATACAAGTAATTTTGGATGCAATTGAACAATACTCGAAGCACTAGATTGCAAGTTGACTTTTAATACAAACGGAATGATGAAAATGGATTGTTCTTTTGTTTTATTAAAAAAAAACTCGACATTTCTTGCAAAGACCCATTTTTGTTGGTAAATGTTTTTTCTATGCTTTTTGTTTGTTTTTAATAATGCCAATCCTATCCAAAATCAGATGTATCCTAAAAATTCAATCATACCGAAAATTTTCAACTAGATTTGTGAAACCTTATCCAAAATTATTTTCGGAATCGCTTGCCAAAAAACGAGTTAATGCATTAAATTTTTTGAAAAGTAATTTCGAAAAGTATATTTGGTAAAATTAACACCAATTTTTTTTTCGAATGCCATCGTTTTTGCTTTACGGAGGATTACAACGAAGGAAAGTTGGTTGGTGATGCGCATGAATTAGCCAAATGAGGAAAGGAACATATATTATCGGAAGGGAATTCTTTGCCGTCATTACTTATTTTGCTTGGATAAGGTTTATAGTTCGTATCCAATTTTTTATGGCAAGAAAATGGAAGCACACGGACCATTTTAAATGGCCCTTGCAAAAGAAAGAAGGAATTACCTCATAGTTTGAGTCATCGATTAGCGAAAAACGCTTCTTCAACACCTTCTAAATATTAGTCGCGAATTCATATAAAAGATTATTGCTGCAATCGGAGATGATATTGATCGAAGTAACCGGGAGATGATTAGATTATTGCAACGCAACCAAGGACCATACAAATGATCATTACCGGTAGGTGCAGCAATCGATCCATCAACAAATCCCGTTTTATTGCGAATCGAAAGTGCTAACAGGAAAGAACGACTCCATGAAGCATAGTTGCTTGCAGTTAATATTAGTGTAACAATCACGGAGCTATGATTGTCCGAATGATGAAGGAAGAATAGAGATTGTGAATCTTCAACCAAGGAATTCATAGTAGAAGTTCGCCATTGATGAGATTTGTAAATTGATTTTAACCTAAAAGCTCGCTACCATGTGAGAAATCAAAAACGAAACATATGAGAGAATTGAAGAAGATGATCTTATTTTTTCGGAGAGTTAACTTTCTACAATCTTATTGGATATTTAAATACACAGAGAGAAAGGAAATGAGAATCGGGAAAACTTATAACTAACTTTTCTTCTAACTCGTTTATGTTTGTTAATTAGTTATAACGGAATGTAGATGATTTGCAATCCACGTGTCCTCTTCTTCTTTCAACGGAGATACAAGTAATTTTGGATGCAATTGAACAATACTAAAGCACTAGATTGCAAGTTGACTTTTAATACAAACAGAATGATGAAAATGGATTGTTCTTTTGTTTTATTAAAAAAAAAACCGACATTTCTTGCAAAGACCCATTTTTGTTGGTAAATGTTTTTTCTATGTTTTTTGTTTGTTTTTAATAATGCCAATCCTATCCAAAATCGGATATATCCTAAAAATTCAATCATACCGAAAATTTTCAACTCGGATTTGTGAAACCTTATCCAAAGATTATTTCCGAAATCGCTTGCCAAAAAACGAGTTAATGCATTAAATTTTTTGAAAAGTAATTTCGAAAAGTATATTTGGTAAAATTAACACCATTTTTTTTTCAAGTGCCACTGTCTTTGCCTTACGGAGGATTACGGTGAAGGAAAGTTGGTTGGTGATGCGCGTGAATTAGCCAAATGAGGAAAGGAACATATATTCTTGGAAGGGAATTCTTTGCCGTCATTACTTATTTTGTTGGATAAGGTTTACGATCCGTATCCAATTTTTTGTGGCAAGAAAATGGAAGCACACGGACCATTTTAAATGGCCCTTGCAAAAGAAAGAAGGAATTACCTCATAGTTTGATATTGTATTGTTTTGTTGTTGGATTAAAATTAAAGTTAGGGAAATAGCTTAAATCTAATATTTTTTTAATAATTTAAAATAAATTGCATGAAAATATTTATACTTTTATCACTAAATAAGACGAGTAAAAAAATAGAAATATGAATCAAAACATACAATAGTTTTTTTTTAAGTGAAAAAAATACTACATAATTTAACTAGAATCCATATTTGTAGTATCCTATTTTTTGTTTAGAATATTTTTAAAGTTATGTTATCTTATAATTAATTAAATAAGCAATGTTTTATCTAAAAAAACATAATTTCTTACGGCTTTTTTTTTTTAAGTGAAACCTAATATATTATAAATAAAACCTCATTCTACTTCTAAAATTAAGTCGACAAGTATAGAATAAAAATCATTACCAAACACTTCATTATGGTTTTTAATTTAAAGAAAGTGGGTAAAATTTTAAAAAATATGGGGTAAAACATGCTCCGTGCTTGGATTCTTGTAGACTTTCTAAAATATTGCTTTCAATATACTCGAATAAATGGAAAACATGCCACACGTATGGGTACAAGTACAACACATAATTAATATATCAATAACTATAAATGCGTATTTTTTTAGGTTTTAACGGCAAGGAAGGTCAATTTTCATAAATCAAGACGAGCATTTTTTTTCTATATATGCCAAAACTATAATTTTTTGTCTAGGTCTGTATTAATATAAGAGATAATTTAGTAGTAATCAATCAAAAATTAAACGTATTTTATCATTGATCTTACTCGAGAAATAATAAATTTAGTTTCGATTGATGCAAAGATTAACTCGAACATATCTTTTTACCTATGATTATCAAAAAAGAAAAAAACATAAATATTAGTGTATTTAAATTATTTTCTTATACCTTTTTATAAATTTCGAACCCTCCATGATTAAGGGTGAGCAAATGGTTCGGTTAATCGAAAACCGAATCAAACCGAACCGAATTATGTATTTTGGTTCGGTTTTAAACTTAAATTTATAAAATTAAAAACCGAACCGAAAAACTGAAATTATTTCGGTTCGGTTCGGTTTTTGAAAAAAAAATCGGTTTTCACCGAAAACTCGAAAAAATTAAAAGCAAAAAAAAAAAAAAATTCGGTTTTTTTTTTTTTAAACCCTAATTGGCTAACTTCACTAAATCAAAATCAATTTTTAGCGGCGCCTCCCTAGCTCCCTATCCTTCGCTCCATCTTCTCCGGTTCTCCTTCATCATCACTTCATCGAGTCGGAGGAGGCATTCATGAATTCTAAGATTCTTAATTTGATCAACTATCAACTGAAAAAATTAAATAAAGTAGATGCAAGTTGATGATTAACTACAATCAATTGTCTTTTACAAGTTCGAGTTGTTTCTTTGCAAGACAATCAAATGAAATTAACTTACTATTGCAAGATGGTTTTAGGTCTCCGTGAGTTTGAATTTTACAAACTAAAAGAAAGTCTGTTTTAATTTCTTTTCTACTCGCACAAAATTGCTAATAAAAATCTTTTGGACTACATTTTTTATCGGGCATGATGATTGTAAAATTATTAGGGATGTTATACATATTGCTAACCTTTACCTTGCTTTATATATCTTGTTATGATAGTGATTGATGTTGGAAAATTATAATCTTCAACGGTGACTAATTCGATCTAACATTTTGTTTCCTGCGGTTCATCCCCAATGGCTTTTTAGCAAGATAAGCAAGGAGATCATAGAGGTCAAATCAAGAATTAGAATGTTGTCGATGCTTGATGAGTTCAAAATAAGCAAAAGAAGGAAGACAACTACATTTTTTTTTCTTCTCTCATTTAGGACATTCGGTGTGTAAATTGTGATTAGGTAGCTGCAAAAGATATTTCCTATGTAAGGGCTTTGTTTTATTATTGTCTTTTTTTTTTTTTTTATAGTAAATGGTGAAAATGATGGTGGCTTAGGACGGATAATGAAACAATGGTCTAGAATTTTTTTTTCGGTAAAACATTTCGGTTAAAATCGAAATATTTTGAAACCGAACCGAAATAATTTGGTTACATACCGAATTTACCGAATTTATTTTGGTTCGGTTTTGGTTTTATTTTCCTTGATTTGGTTAATCGAAAACCGAACCAAATCGTACAAAACCGAACCGTTTAACCGTTTGCTCACCCCTACCCATGATAGTGAAGAATGAACCACTTAGCAATTAAATTAGGTCTAAAAAATGATATATGTATACATACACCATTATAACTTATAACGTCACAATTAAGAACATAGTAATTCATAACCTTATTGTCACTGGTATTCCATATGGCATGACCATGTTAATGTTGTTGCAAAATGCTATGTAAATATATGGTCGTGATTCTGGTATGGTGACGTTTAATAAACCCGACCTTCTCGTGTTCTTTAATTATTAATTATTAATGTTAATCTCAAATTTATTTAAAGTATAGTAACAATTATGTACATTTTTTATGAAGAGAAAACCTCAATAAATATCACATTCAATTATTTTTGAAAGCTGCATTTGTTTGTCACACTATTATTGAATTTTTAAAACATAAAAAAAATATACACACAATCTGTTTAAAATCTGATTGAAAATGGCTTACATGGCCGCAAGCCTAAACGTTGAAGAGAGAAAATATTTTTTGCCAACGTGAAAAAAAACTCATTATACTTGAGAAAAAGAGATCACAGCAAAGCAATTTGTAGCGTATGTTGGAGGGCAGAGGTAATTAAGACTAGATAAAGGCTACGGAGTGTATTTGCAATTTTGAAGTGTAAGAAGAAAAAAAGTTGAAACCGCGTAACAAGACCAGACAACACATAATCTCCAAATCTCCCAACAAACCCCCTCCCGTCTGAAGTGGAGCAGTATACATTATTACAACAGCACAATCAATCATTGGAGTTCAACCACCACCACCATCACCGCCACTACGACCAAAACCACAGCTCAAAGTCCAAACCATGGACCCTACCAAGTACAGAGGGAAGCAGGCGATGACAGTGGACATAGAGCAGATGCCGGAGACACCTCACCGTGGGAACCACCACCGAAGGGCCCACTCCGACACTTCCTTCCGCTTCGACGACCTCCTCCTCTTCGATGCTTCTGACTTCGACCTCTCCTCTCTCGATGACCTACCTCCCAACACCACCACCAACACCCACCCTCCACCTGCCGCCCCCATGGCCGTCGACTCCTTGTCCGATGACTCCACATCCAACGGTCAGAATCAGAAGCCCAAACCCGTCAATCACCTCCGGAGCTTGTCTATGGACTCTGACTTTTTTGATGGGTTGGGTATCGGGGCTGGCAGTGGTGGAGATGAGAAATTGGGTGGGAAAGCGATGGCGGGAGAAAAGAGGGCTGCGAACCACCACAAGCATAGTTATTCGATGGATGGGTCGATTGAGGTGGAGTCTGTTATGATTGATGGTGTTAAGAAAGCTATGGCTCCTGATAGACTTGCAGAGCTATCTTTGATTGATCCCAAAAGAGCGAAAAGGTTTGGCCTTTACTTTTTATTAATCAATCTCTAATGTTTAATTTTAACTGTTTTTCAATTGCTTCCTAAGCTATATCTTATATATGTTCATTATTGTTTTTTTTTTTTTTTAGAAAGATAGAGAAATACTTATGTGATGTTATTTCTTTTGTAATCTTTGAAGGCCTTTCTTTTTTGTTGTTTCAATTGTCATTTTGCTGTGGAAAATGAAGAGCGATGAGTGTTTTTTAATGAAATGTCTCTGTTTTGTAGGATTCTTGCTAATAGGCAATCTGCAGCGCGGTCAAAGGAGAGGAAAATCAGATACACTGGTGAGCTAGAGAGGAAGGTGCAGACGCTTCAGACTGAAGCAACCACTCTCTCTGCACAGGTCACGATGCTGCAGGTATATGTGGATTTTGTTTTGCTTAATGATTTTATCTAACTTATTTGATAAATATGGAGTAATTAGATTTGGTTTCTTTTGTTGGAATTGTGCTTTGTTTCCCTGTGAAGTGATGATGTTTTTGTATGGGAATGCATGGACCTGCAATATTTTATTTGTGAGGCTTACGTGTAAATAATTGCTGTATCCATTGATTAATGACTGAGATCTCTTGATGGAGTGATTAATGACTTTCATCTCTTGATGAAGAGTTCATTGATACCATTTTGAGAGATCTATTAGAGTATAATCAGATGGAAAGCTAGTAAGTATAGAAGCTATGGTACTTAACGTTTTTGCTTTGTCGAGGCATTTGCCTCGACATACTGCCTTATTTGCTTTTCGACTATTTACATTCCATAATTGGAAGTTTAGGTCTGGTCAAAATCTCTGTTAACCATTTTTTGCATCTGTGAAACCATTTTTGAAGACTGTGATTTATTAACTTTGTTCACGTTGCTGTTAACAATTCTTTCCACGTGTTATTATTTAAACTGATGCATCTTATTTTGTGGTGCACTCATGAGATTATGCAAGGAACAGTGATCATTTCCTTTAATTTAAGCATTGCATTAAATGTTGTGTTGGTTCTTAATTTGAGAAGTTTCAATTGTTATGATAACTAACCTAACTCATTAATCAGATTACTGTGTTTGTTAAGGCCAAGTGCACCTCTCCTTATCCTTGAAGGCGAAAACAATGTAGCTTTTATAGTGATTAGTAGTTATTTCACTGACATAGAAGCAACTTCTTTAATAGCATGGCATCATCTATGGGTCACTTGGATGAAAAAAAGTTACTTGGCTTTGTCAATTTGGCGTCAGCACTGATTATTGACCAGATTTAACAGGATGCCTTGACCTTCTGTAACTTAAATTCTGTTTGCACGCACACTGCAATGATTTCATAGAAGGAAATTGAGCACGAAAATTTGTATGCCCGACTCAGTACATTCTGCTTAAGCACATACCCTGCTGTCATTCCAAGATACTGCATATCGTAGTTCTTGTGCTACCATGTGTACATGCATCGTACATATGTGGATGCAAATGAAATTTCAATAGATGTGAACAATTCATATAACGATGTACTACCCTGTTTCTGAATGCCCATAAATGCCCCTAATGGAAGTATTTATCAGCCTCAGCTCCTGAGACATGCCCCCAGAAACTTTACTAAAAGGTTAGCTGGAACTCATTAACGTTTATTCTCAAATGCACAGAACCTGTGTGAGATTTCAAATTATCTTGACACCCATTATGGCTGTCCACAATCTATCAGTAGGAACCAATAGTGAAGACACTTGTTATCTTAGATGTTTTATCCCTTCGGCATTGTATATAAGAAATGAAATTAAATCCTGCATTCACCATGCATAGAAAGTGGCGGTTCCAAGCTCTGTTTCAAGTTTTGAAATGCATATAAATTTAGTGTAAATGTGGAGTCTGCATCAACACCTCCCTGAAATCTGGATTTTTTTCTTCAAAATATATTTAGATGAACTTCTCTGTTTGGAAAGTTATCTAAGTTGCAGACAAGATTCCGTTGTCAAGTTGATTGGATTGCTTCTGAAACTTATTTGTGTACAGCTTTACTTAGGATTCTTGTTTACCTTCCTATCCAGTTATTAATCTGTAGAACAATATTTGTGTTTTCTAATATAGATCGTGCATTCATTCATTGATATGCTAATGCATTTTGACAAATATGTCCTATGCTTTATATTAGATATGACTTTTCCAAAAATAATGAGCTTCTATTTTCGCATTGGCAAATGCTTTCCATCTGTGGATTTCCGTTAGACACAATGATATTTAGGAAGCACTAAGTCCATGGAGAAGTTTTTTAAATGCACAGAAACAGTGCTTCGATAGTGGGTGAACAGTTAATTATTATTCATCGTTTTTTCTGTGGATTTGTGTTTCCCTGATATTTATTGAAAATGTATAAGTTGCGGGCTATGCTTAGGTTATATATAGTTCTAGTAAATGTTGCAATATTTCCTGTTCCACTTGCATGCTTTTTTGAATTTGATTTTATATGATATGGGTATCTTGTTCAAAATTGTACTAATTTCTACAGAATTGTATACATCCTTCCAGTGAGTTGGATGGCACACCATTTTACAATTTATTGAGGTCACATTGTTTAGTAGTAGTACTTGCTAAAAACCTAGTCAGGAAAAAAAAAAGCATAAAGAAAATATGGAAGAAAGCTAATGTTTGTGTATATTCGTTTTATTGATGCAGAGAGACACTAATGGGTTGACTGTTGAGAATAAGGAACTGAAACTGCGGTTACAGGCTATGGAGCAACAAGCACACCTTAGAGATGGTACGCTTCGAACAAGAATGTTTTTCTGTTTTGGGAGGCATGTAGTAGCTAGATGGATAAAATAATCAAATTTTTCTAATTGTTTGACATTTAAATGTACCAAGACATAAACTAAGCACTCCATGTGGTATGTGAACATCTTCCTCATTCAGCATTCAATTGATGTGACATGACATGATACACATCTTAAAGAGAGCGTGTGGGTGGGTTTGGGTGTAATTGTGTCTGTAAAGTAGAAGTTATAGTGTCTCAGAATCATTTAACTAATAGTACTATGTTGTTATCACGCATTGAAATTTTTCTTAAAATGCAGAAATTTTAAATTTGATTAGGAAAAATAGCTTTTGTTATTTCCATATGAACAAATTTATTTTTTTATTGCATGCTGCCAAATGCTTGTGTTTATTTATTTTAAGCATGTTCACTTTCTAATTTCTCATCAGTATTTTTAGGGGATGAATCTAGGGTAGTGATGAAGTGGTGTTTTATACCTTTCTATGGTGTGCAGCTCTGAATGAAGCATTAAGGGAAGAGGTGCAGCGGCTTAAGATAGCAACTGGTCATATTCCGGCTGTCAATGGAAACCCTTTCAATAGAGGTATAGCTCCTCAATTTCCATCACATCAGGGCTTACCGCCCTTTGGCAACCAGCAAACTCAGCAGCAGCACCAACAGCAGCTGCACATGCCACAGTCATCCACCAGTGGTCAGACTCTCAATGGGCAGCCCCGCCCTAACTTTCCGAATTTCAGCCAGAGGGTCTAATGTCACCGGGGAAACTTCATTTGCTGGAATTTAATGTTGCAAAATAGAAATTAATTCGACCCAAGTAGCATCTTGTATATGTAAGCATGTATATTGGTTGCAGGCAAAGGTTGTGAAAGAGGACTTGCTCATAGCTCCTGAGCACATCAGGCTATGCTATCCTTTAGGACAGTTTTTATTTACCACATGTTACATAGAAATTAGGTCACTTCATGAAACAATTGGGTGGATGACTATTGTAATCTTCTATATGCAGAATAATTAGCCTTTGGGATTGGTAGGACTAATCACCACATATTTTCCTTTGAAATATATTTTTCTTTACCTGGTTTCAACCAGCTACAGTGCACCTTGGTCTGAGGTTATCCTTTAATCCATGCACAGTTAGAGTGACAAAAGAGCATGCAATTTTTAGCCGTCAATAAAAGCCTAAAGAGTTACTATATTTTACTGGTCCAGAATGCATGGATGAGAATGGCCGCCAGTTCTCCCTCTTTGATTCTCTTACTTTTAAAGAATAGAAGTTACAGAAGCTGTTAGTGGCAGTATTTTGCAGGTTTATTTGGTTTAACTCTTTGCCATTCTTGATGGAGGGTATCTTCTCCAGTTCTTTCTTTTCTTTATCTCCTGATCACTTTACCGTTGACAATCAAAGAGTTGCTTTAGAGAATGCATAAAATTTAAAACCAGTTGCAGGAACTTCACAATAACAATATAGTATTTGAGTGCTTATTCGTTTCTGGACACCAAATGAAGCAGTCATGTTAGAGAATAGGAGCCTCTTTTTTCTTTCTTTTGTTTGAGAGATTAGTACATCACAATGATGTTAAGACTACTCCTGTCACGGTTTCGGTGTCCAAAAGCAGGTCTGAAAATATACTACCATTAAAAAAAAAAAAAAACAAAGAATTCCCGACAATCTTCTTCGGAGCAACCCAAGCACGATGCTGGCAATTGATGATTAAACAACAGGCAAATATAATCAACGACCAAGCACCCAAATCCACCTGACATTTGTCATTACGTTTGATATGTGACGTCTATAGATAAAATACAATCTGGAAAGGAAACAAATAAAGGGGAGGGAGGGAGCTCAAACAAACTACAGTCAGAATATCTTAACTGCATGAACTTCTATGGCATCTAACAAATCTATGATTCCTCTCTCTCCAAATCTATTATGATCCTTTGATCATTCATTAGATCACCAACAAGGAAGAATATAGCCAAAGTACTACTATGTCAAAATATGCCTAATAGAATGCCTGACAAGTTATGTATCTTATGTGTGTTATTTTCATATTATAAAATGACTGACACACCTTTACTTTGTCTTTCAAAACCATGCCAAAGGACGGCCAGCTATATCCATATCGATTACGATTCCAAGCCAAAGTTCAATCCAATTATCATTCAGCATCAACCAATTTGTTTCTTCTCCTAGAGCCAACGACAATAATAGTAAAATTAACAGCGAAAAAATTGGCATTATTTATTCAATTGATTATATTATTAGCCCACCAAATCAAACATCGATGCAGAACAAGGAGAAGAATTAGCCACCTTTGCTAATTACAAGACAACGATAAGCTTTGCGAGCAACTCCAAATGAGCGACAATCATAAAATTAACTATCAAGTTAATAAATTGCCGTTAATTACTAAGGGGTGTTACTGAGGTACAGCATTCGGAGAAAGTTACAAAGTTATGATTGTCGTGATATACAAGTTCCAAAAGTCTCATAGAAAAGACAACGAAGAGAAGAATATACCGGAGAAATCAGAGCTCATAATTCCAAATATATATGCACCCAATACTGTTATTGTTACCTGAATGCATGTTTAGTGCTGTCTAGTAGGATCTAGCGACTAGCAATGGAGTTGAGCATCTTGCTGGTCTTCCTTCTCATAAGCATGCTTGTACTTTCAGCTTTCTTCTTGCTACATTCATGGATTTCACCAAAAGAAATGGAGGTAATACCAGGTAGCCTGGGTTGGCCAGTTGTTGGTGAAAGTTTCTCGTTCCTATCTGCTTTTTCTAGTGCAGCTGGTATATTCAGCTTCATGAAAAACAGGCAGCAGAGGTAAGCACTTGTTCTCAAAAATCTGTCTAGATGTCCAAATGACTTCACTAAATAATTTGATCTTTGTTTCTCTGTACACCTCGAACTTTTCGTAGGTATGGAAAGGTGTTCAAGACTTTTGTTCTAGGAAGATTCACCGTATTCATGACTGGAAGGGAAGCAAGTAAAATCTTGTTAACAGGAAAAGATGGAATGGTGAGTTTGAACCTCTTTTATACAGGGCAGCAGGTGCTAGGCCCTACCAGCTTGCTCCAAACCAACGGAGAGGCACACAAAAGGCTTCGGCGTCTGATTGGAGAACCCCTGTCGGTTGATGGCCTAAAAAAGTATTTTCACTTCATTAACGCTCTGGCAATTGAAACGCTAGACCAATGGCGCTCTGGACAAACAGTGCCGGTCCTTGAAGAAGCTTCTACAGTTGAGACTTTATTGCTCAATCAAAGAGATTGTTTCCCGTTCATGTTGTTTTTGGGACGTGATTGAGATATCTTTGCACTTTTGCAGTTCACTCTGAAAGTAATCGGCAACATGATAATGAGCTTAGAACCCGCTGGAGAAGAGCAGGAAAAGTTTCGATCAAATTTCAAAATCATCTCTTCCTCATTTGCATCACTGCCATTTAAAATCCCTGGAACAGCTTATCATAATGGTATTCAGGTATTAATTCTTCACACAAATTAATCTTTGGACACTGGGACCCATTGGAAAACATAATTTCTTAAAATAATCTATGAAAAAACGAAGATATTGAGAGATTTACCCTCATTCAATTTGGCATCAGGCTCGGGATAGGATGTACGGAATGTTAGACTCGATAATTGCAGAGAGGAGAAGCGGCAAAAGCTACCAACAAGATTTCTTAGGGTCTCTGATAATGAAACATAGCAAAGCAGATGGTGCAGAAGATCAGGAGGACAAACTGACAGACAAACAACTGAAGGATAATATATTAACTCTCCTAGTTGCAGGTCACGATACAACAACTGCTGCTCTCACGTGGCTTATGAAATTTCTCGAAGAAAATCCTGCAGTTTTGGAGAAACTCCGAGTAATGATAAATTCAGACTTCCAATTATATTTTATTTAGTGGTGATGTCTTCCGAATGCAATCTGATATTGGACTTGCAGGAAGAGCATATAAACATCCATTCAAAGAGAACGGATGGGGCCAGCCTCACATGGTCCGAAGTTAACAACATGTCTTACACCAACAAAGTGAGAGGCAAATTTTTATTTTTATTTTTTTTGAAAGTTCATCTACTAACATCTCCCCTTATCTGAACATTTGGTTCTTCCATTATGTCCATCCAGGTAATCAATGAAACTCTTAGAAGAGCCACAATATTACCTTGGTTTTCAAGGAAAGCTGCCCAGGACTTTGAAATTGGCGGTACGTAAATCCCCAAAACCAGATGGCAAGCAGCAATATGAACGTAGTGATAGTAAATCATTTCTTTAATATCACAGGATATAAAATCAAGAAAGGCTGGTCTATTAACTTGGATGTTGTTTCCATCCATCATGACCCAGAAGTTTTTCCTGACCCCGAAAAGTTCAATCCCTCCAGATTTGATGTAAGTGGCTTCAATCCAATTGATTATCATCAGTTCATATGCAGAGTGAAATAATTTTGGAATCAACTTCAGGCACCCGTAAAGCCTTTCAGCTTTCTTGGATTTGGTAGTGGACCGCGGATGTGCCCTGGAATCAACCTTGCCAGACTAGAAATCTGTGTCTTCATACACCACCTGGTCATCCGATACAAGTAAGACGAATAACCATATTGAAAAAGGTCAAACATATTACTTAATAATAACTATCTTCTCCAAGAAAGACAATAATATAGATCACATGGTTGTGTCATTTTTCCATGAAGAGCATGACTACTAATCCAATCTCAACTTTTTGAAGCTTTTTTTTTTTTTTTAATTATCATTTATTGATAATTCTGGCATTCTGATATCAATAACAGGTGGAGAACTCTTGAGAAACATGACTCTGTCCAGCCAACACTAGTGCGGATGCCAAGAAACAAGTATCCAGTTATAGTCGAGCCACTGTAAAACATCCATCTCAATGGAACTAATGGATAGATGAGAAAGAATTTACGTCCACGCAATTACAGGAAAAAGAAAGGATTAATAAGCAAAAGTTATGAGAACTTTTGGAATGGATGTAGTTTTTCATCAAGAATAAAGTAATTCAAGATAACAGGACTCATTTATGTGTCTTCTGCAATGCAACAAAGTTCAACTTTGCACTGAGAAATAGCTACAAAGAAAGGTGAAATTGGCAACTACAGACAAATTGGGCCAAAACCACCATCACTACTTGTTCTTTCTGCTGTTGAAAGATATTAATACGCAGGTTCAATAAATTTGTTAAAAAAGAAAAGGGGAAATTGAGTTGAGATTATTTATTTGTTCACTTTGACTCTTCCACCTCTTAACGCAGTTACTACTCCCTCTGCCAGTAACAAACATTACAGTGTGGTGAAATAAGTTTGGGTCTGAAACCCCAAAGTTCGTAGTTGCTCAGGTGATTCATTCCATGCGATCACCGGAAAACTAGCCTTCCATGCAAATACGAAAAATGAAAAATATGCCCAGAATTTACTGAAAGAGGATCAAAATAGAAAGCACAAACAGTCTGGGCCCTATTCAATAGCATAACTCTCTTAACTGTTTGCCGATTACCAAATCATATCTGTGTAGCAGCAGATATTGCTTGTCTTGGAGGGATCAGCAGCCTCTACCCTTCTTTTCTCCCTTTCCTCATTATTTCCAACAGCACGCTTCAGCTATGATGTCAAAAGCAAATCTAGAAAGCCAAATTTAATAATGAGATAATATATTAGTTTTGAAGAAATGAAAGGAAGCATTAGGCAGAGGATCCAACATGGCATCTGCCCTCTTTCGGTTCTTCAACTTCTCTAGTAGTTTAAACACAGCATCAAGAGAGCAAGAAAACCTGTAAGGCGAATGCTTAAACTAAGGTCATCTATAACTTCTGTTCTGCAGTTCCTTCCCTTTTAAATGAGCAGAGCAGAAAGTATCAGCTTTCCACATCTGCTGCTGTTATCCAATGCGTCAATACTCTACAAGCCTTGACACTCTTCGATACCAGAAAGGCAGCGATAAGAATCATCCCATCATGGGATAATGACAACATTCCCTGTGTGTGAGGGTTGTAACAAAACTATCGGCTCTCGATCACAAAGTAACAATAGTTACCTGTTCTGAAGTCTATTGTAACTAACAGAAAAGTTCAGAAATGACTGCAAAGACACCGGAACAAATCATAGCAATGAAAAGAGGAGAGAGGGTGTAGGTGTAACATCGATTCTATTTTATTCTTGAAAGAGTATGGAGAATCTAATCAACCACCCATCCTGTCAAGCCACCATAAAACACGGAGCGAAAAATTTTCCTCCGTCCAGCTGCAGGAAATATTTAGATGATCTTAGTTTAACCATAATCTATTTATATATAGGTTTAATCATAATCTATCTGCACGTAGGACAACATCTGACAAAATAATTGTACCAGAGTGCTGGACTGCCGCGTGAAGTTAAAAAGAATATTGTGTTAAAAAGAATATTGCTCCTGCCTCACACCAAGTGGGGAAGAAGTCTGGAGTGAGCGAATAGTGAATCAGAAATAAGCAGGCAGCAATAACAGTATAATGTTGAAGCAACAGAAGACAGAAACGCATATCAAAACAAATCCACATGATAAGAATTGCGTCCAACTACCTTCACATCTTGTATCTTTCATTGTTCCACGGAAAGCAGCAGCGAGGCAGGTAACCTAAGGACGCTCCCATGCTTGTATTCCTCTTCTTGCTCTAACATGAGCTTATAGTAGTCTTGAAGCTCCCGGAGATTCAATAGCCAATGAACAGCAGGCAATCAGAACTGACAAAAAGAAGAATATGGACCCAATAAATCACCATTTGAGAATTGAGACTGCAGAACCCCTCTAGTCATCCTTCGTCAAGTTTATGCTGCCTCTGTTTAGCTCAACAATGGAAGGTGTTAAGAACAGCAACTAGATATTTTTAGTCTTGCTCATTAAGAGAGCTCAAGAACTTTCACAGAGAGTAGGATGAATTGATGGACTAAAACACTACCCAGAGAAAAGCAGTTCCTGAGTTCCCACAGCCTGATTTTTGGTTTGTGAACAATTTGGGACAAGTCAATAAGAATATACGGAAATCTAGAAACATAGTAAAATGGAGAAAACCATCAAAGGCATAACTAAATTTCAAAATAACAACTGCCCTGTTACATAATGAAACAACTACAATCGAGTGGATTAATTATTACTCATGATAATACTTCAGTTGTGCAAAGCACAAGCACAATTCCTACTCCCTAAATCTGCTGCAATACAAGGAGGCTGAACTTTTCCATCCTGATACCAAGTTGAACGTTTTTCAACCAATTCATTCAAGAATTCATCCAGCTTCTCAATCGTGACGCTAGGCATAACCACAACATGGGCAATATTTCCTTGGCAAGCTAGCTGCCACCTGCGAACAAATTCCTCATCTAGAGGCCGCTCAAATACAACTGTGCTGCTGAGCTCATTCAACATAGCGCTAATCCCAGCATCACGCAGTCGGTCCTTCAAATAATGAGCATTTCTGAGACACTTCTGCACTTCTTTTTGGAATCCTTTATATCCTTTTCTGTTGAGCGTGTACCAAAGAAAGATAGGAGCATGGCCGTTGCGGCTTCCCATGATTGTGGCATCCCTTGAAGCAAGGTACTCAACATTGCTTGAGAGGACATTAATGTGCTCCATCCTTGTTATCTGAACACCACATGGCATTGGGCATCCCACAAACTTGTGGCCAGAAACACTAACGCTTCCAATGGGCTTTTTGAAAGTAACCTTTGGTGCCTGCTTACCACCAACAGAAATAAGCAATGCAGAGAAACCAGAACCACAACATTAAATAACGACAACAGTAGTTCTACAAGACCCTAATACAGAAAATTGGAATATGTCACAGCAACAGGGGAGAAAACAAGGACACCATGACATCATGAGTCATGACGTATCACTATATAGCCCAATTCTGGTTCTCTACACTTGTGGACATGAACAAAATGTTTTGCTTCTTATTGTTCCATTAATGATTTCCATAATATTCAACAACTGTATTCATCAGCATATCAGATATATCGCCAGCAAAGAGGAAGGACTACAGAAATAAAATGGCCGTAGTGAAAGATTTTAGATTGTTCCAAGTGCACAGGGGCTGGTAATGCACTAGAGACATTTAGACTAGGTGATTCAGTCCTTTTGTGTCAAGTTTTTTAAGATGAACTGCCGAAATTCCTAACATACTCAAGTGAAGCAGAACAAGTCAGTCACTCTAACAGATAGAGACCAAGTAGAGAGAAAATAAAATGGGATTACACCACATAAAATGTCACAAGTAATTCAGATTTAGTAGATCCAAGAGCCTTAAGGAAAACACAAGCACTCTGACCTTCCTATCTTCCAACTGGAGTCATAATAAAATCACTTACACGTTTGACAAAAGGCATCATAAGTCCAAATAAAGCTCCATCGCAGTGAATGTAGAATCGATCCTGAGTAAATCCACTTTCTTCAAGGGTTTGTATCACGAGATCAAGATCATCAACTGCTCCTTTGACAGTTGTGCCTGCAATAAGAACGATTCATTAAAACAAAATAATGATGCTCAAGCATACAGACACAGGCATGTGTCTGCAAAAGTGTGTGTGCAGGCATGCGGGCATGTAAGAGACAGATGACTACCTATATTAACGTTGATAATGGCTGGTTTGTCCTTGTTAGAAAGTAGCTTAACTTTGAAATCAGCACAGTCAATCTCACCAGAGATCAGACAATTGACCTTCACACAATCCATTCTATACATACGAGCAGCTTTGAAGATAGAATAATGTGACTCTCGTGATGCGTAAAGAACTCCTTCCGGAAACACTTCCCTCCTACACAATTGAAAAGTTTTATCAACTCACTCTTTCTAACACTTAATTCAACTCCTTAAATATTAAGAAAGAAACATGAAAAAACAACTAACCCAACTAGAATCCCATGAAGATTGCCTTCTGTACCACAATTAGTTATGTAACCCCAGTATTCATTTTTCTCAATCTCCCAAAGGCGTGCAAACCAGTCTAGAACACCAACTTCAAACTGCCTTGAATGTACACCGTAGTTACTCTCTATGAACGGGTCACCAAGATTGTTGATGGAGAAATGTTGCAACTGCGCCAAAGCGCCATAGTCGAAGTCCAAATTATAAGGATAACCTATAACAGATAAAACCAGTTGAATGTTAGAACTCAAAATAAATACATTCTATATCCATAGAAACAAGCAGCCTCTTCCAGCCCCCAGCAACATAGTTAAGGCAATAACTCCATAACCATTATAAGCGAGTATGCCAATTAAATTCTACGCACTTCAATACAAAATTTGATTCCGCATTGAAGAAAAACTAATCATTTTAATGTTTATAAAGCAGAAATATGAAACTGATGTCTTATTAGATCCACGTTTCCAATAGAAAAATGAAACAATGAATTAGTAATAAGCAAAATTCTAGAATTGAAAAATTAACATGCTATTAAAAAACCAAATTAGATAATTTCAAAAAATTTAAGCAAATCATGATGATAGTAATAAACACATTAAGTAGTGTTACTAATTATGCTACGAAATTAATCAATTACCTAAATGATATTTAGTCCTTTCCATTAAGTTCTTTCGGTAGCGAGCCAAAACGCTAGCCATATAAGCTTCTTTATCTCCTGTAAATTCATCGTTAGCTTCAGGCTCCGTGACCTCGAGGCACGTGGTGTGGACGTTCCTCCCTAACACAATATCTCTGCCATTTTCTTTATCTCCATTTTCCGCCGCCACAATCGGAGGCAAAGACTCCGGTTCAACCATAGCCATCACATCGAAGTCCGCGATCTCAACCTTCCCGTTCACGGGAACCGACACTGCATCAACAACTTCCATGGTTTCTACTACTACAAAAATAGACGTTATAACAA